TTTCACTGCTGCATCAATCAGAGGCTTTCTTGACTCTGGGACTTACTCCTTACTACGGCTTGAACCCCTGCAGAGCATGGTGTGGGCCTTGGAATTGGAGTGTGCTGTCTGACCCTGGAGAACGCTGCTCCTGGTATCTACATCCATAGCCTGGCTCTGGGCTCTGTGGCCAAGATGGATGGCAGGCTCAGGTAAAAATGTGTAGTTTTACTAATATCAGAAGAGTAAAACGTGTTTTAATGAGAGTATTTCTCAGTAATTGTGATAATCTACTCACTGACACGTGTGTGAATCTTGAGGAGACAACGTTCAGAGTTGTGCTGACACCTGTGCCTCTGTCCAGTCGTGGAGATCAGATACTCGAGGTGGACTCGGTCAGCCTTCGTCACGCTGCTCTCAGTGAGGCCTATGCCATCCTCAGTGAGTGTGGGCCTGGGCCCATCACTCTTATTGTAAGCAGGCATCCTAATCCAAAGGTAAGACCTGATCTGCTTTTACATAAAAAGTTCAGCCTTTTGTAAAACCGCCTTAACTGTGGTTTGATTTAAGCAACTGGATGAAGTTACTCCTGCATCCTCTGTCTTAATCCTCATGAATGTTTCTCTCCGATGACATTCAGGGGTTGTTGAGCCAAAATGTATCACATAGCCCGGATCTACTCACCAATTTCTAGTTTAATTGAGAATTCAAAGTAAATCGAGTCTCATTCACCCAGACAAAAACACAGTCTATGTTCCATAAACGCAATCCTAGGTTTCTTTTTAGCTCTGTATATACACTAATCAGGCATCACATTATAAGGACCTGCCTAATATTGTGTCGGTCCCTCTTTTGCTGCCACACAGCCCTGAGGTATTTGGCCATGGGCTCGACGAGACCCCTGAAGGTGTCAGTTGGGGTTTGTTTGTCCAGCACGTCCCACAGATGCTCGATTGGATTGACACACGGGAGCCTCGTCAACACCTCAAACTAATGGGCTCCTCAAACCTTTCCTGAACCCAAGAAAGCTCCAGCTGATCCAGGAGAGAAGGACAACCTGTAACGTCGGGTTGCGTTTAGTGGTTGAGAGGAGGCGG